TGGCAAGTTTGGTTGAAGCAGAAAAAAGAAATTGAAGAATACGGCATGGGTTTATGTTGTGTCTTAACATTTGAATCATTTGCAGCTGGAGGTGAAAAATAATCACGGATGGTGCCCAACATTCAACAATCTTACAAACCTGACCCTTGATAGGTGGTGCATGCATGCGGACTTATATGCCATGATAGTCTTCCTTCAGAACTCACCTAATCTGAAGAAGCTAACTCTTAAACTAAACGAGGTATATACCGTCTTCTCCATTGCATTTATCCTTCAGTGAAAGTTTGTGCATGCACAGTAAAGATGAAACTGTTCTCTTTTAATTGCCAGCCACGATATCACAACGAGGTTGTATCTGCAGTCATCGGCGAGCTGGAGGATAGATCGTTTACATGTGAACAGCTTGAGATTGTCGAAATCATATGCTCGAAGGGAAATGAGCTGCTGCTACTTGGGTTGAATCAGTTTTTGGTAGAAGAGAGTGGCATAAGGCCTGATCAGATGCGTGTCAGTCACCAGAACTAAGGCCGATGTGAGTCATCCGATTGTTTCAAGTCCCACTACAGGTGAAATTACATGGAATCACTCATTGGCATATCACATGGCAGGCAAACATTGCTTCCCCTTGGATCTATATTCGCTCGCTCTGGTTTAGTTGGAATGAACATAGCATGTGTGTTTGCTGCCCTTGTCTTTTCACACAGTAGAATCCCATAGTGTTGGTTTTGAACTATGTTCTGCGGCCGGCGAACCAAAAGAAACACACCGCTATCTTCCCATGCGATGCCATAATTCGTGTGGGGGAAGATTACACTGCATTTGACATACATGCACATGGCTCAAAATCGCCAGTGACACTTTTTTCATGGATGTGTGATGTTATTGATCTGAGTTGCATGGCTGATGACTGCAGAAAACTTGATGTTGCCTTTTCTGCTGTTTCTGAAAGAAAATGCTTGTGTTGTGCTCGTGGTGTTGGCGGAGCTAGCAAAAGACTCTTCTAATCTGTCCTTGAACGTGTCTGGTGAGTCTCTTGAATAAGACGTTGTCCTTGTACCCTCTTGACCCCGTTGAGTCTGTGATGCACGGCCCTCGTTCTTCTCTGCTGTTAATGTAGACCAGGTTACATATATGCACACAACTGGAGTCAGAGTCTATGGCCATGCCCGATGCGCAACGGCAACGGTCTGACCACCAAGGTTTTATATCCACACAACTGGAATCTGAACTGTATATACGCCAAGAGAAAACGTATACGCCAAGGGAAAAGGATGCGCAGGCTCGTCGGTCTACAACTACAGCAGGTCGTCCGGCCTATATATGAGCCATGTGAAACTGAATAAACTGTATGCTAACAATGGCTCCCATAGCTAGTTCCGGTAACCTTTTGCTGCTGCTCGACCTTCTTCACAAGTTCTCCGCTCGTCCCTCACCTCTGCCGCAGCATACAGCAACCAAACCACCACCCCAGCTCCATGTCTCCCAGGCCAAGCCTCGGCTCTCCTCAGGTTCAGGCGGGACTTCACATTCGATCGTAACTACCCTCAGGTGAACGCGTAACAGGGTATGCTGCCCCGGCATGCAAAGGGCGTATGGAGTTGTGTCTGCGGCGGGTTTTTTGTGATCCGATCGGTTTAGGTTTTTGATGGATCCGTCCAGATTCGGTCGAAACGCATGGTCCTTGGAGTTTCTATGAGCTCTTCTCGGCATTTTCTTCTCCTAGTCTACAAGTTCCCGAGTAAAAAATGTTTGCTCCCTCGAGGCGGAGTCCGAGAGGCAGCATCGAGCTATGCACACAGCGCACCACTGATGGATGCAGGAGAAAGAAGACTTATAGGCTCCCTCAAGGATTGGATTGTAATTTTATTTTTCTGCATGGGCGAGTTCGTAAGGACATGTGTTCATTTTTACTTAACTAGCAAGCGTGCACATGCAATGCACGTTTTGACTAATAGGATGTTGAAAATCATGAAGACATTCCAAGTTGCATCTTGACTAATACGAATCGAAAGAAAAATGTTAGAAGCGGAAGAAATCCATACATATTTTAAAATTACATCAACTATTTAATTTAGATTGATAAATCATGAAAATATAAAATGATAAACCATCAATTTCCATTCGTCGCAGGAAACTATTCACAATATATTAGGTGCTTTCCCTTCATCAACTTTTTCTTTTTGTTGAAAAACTTCCGTTCTATTCATTTTCAATCATGGCAGGACAACGAACATCTGAAATGATAAAAATTACATTCAGATTCGCAGACCATCTAGCGACGACTACAAGCACTGAAGCGAGCCGAAGGCGCCCCTCCCTCGCCGGAGTCGAGCAAAACTTGTTGTAGTAGACAGTCAGGAAGTCGTCGTGCTAAGGCCCCGTAGGACCAATGTAGTAGAATAACAACGTCACCAGTGCAGAATAGCGTAGATCGGAAGGTCCAACCTAAAGCCACACCAACGTAGATGAACTACGACTAGATCCGAACAAATCCGTCAAGGACAGATCTGCAGGAGACACATCTTCACACGCCCACTGATGATGCTAGACACACCACCGAGACAAGGGTTAGGCGGGTAGAACCTTACTCCATCTTCAGGGAGCCACCGTTGTCTCGTCTTCCTGAACATGATACAAACCCAAACAAAAATCGAAGGGATATCTAAAATCAGAGCCCTCCCGCCGGCAAGGGCCTGGACCCACCGCACAACCATGGCCCTAAGGCCATCAGGGACAGGGCGAACCGGCGGCGGCTATGAAAGGCAAAGGAGCTTTTCTTCAGTTGCAAGCTAGGACTCGTCTACCCATATAATCCCCTTCATCAAGTTCAGTTCTTGGATTAAAGTTTTCATTGAGAAATGCTCAAGAAAGGAACTAATTACCTCGTGACAGGGAATGCACTTAATTGTAGGTATTAGGGCCAACTGAGCTGAAAAAAAAGGAAACCAGAACCATGCTACAAGATGATGATCCTCGGTCATCCAACAAAATTCTCCAAGTACTACAATTTTCCATGATATGCACCTGATATCATCATTAAAGTTCTAATTAGGATAAATTCTTTTTTAGTAGTAGGAGTGAAGTTGATCATGTGAAATAATATAAATCATGCATTAAGATCTAGTATATCATTCGCATTAAAGGGAAATAATGAGCAATGCAAGAATTGGATTAGAGAATAACTTAGGGCATGAAGTCAGCGGGTAATCTTGCACACACAATGCACTCCTTGACCATGTGAAATAATATCATCTCGAAGGATCGGGAGACCCCTGCACCTATCACTGTGCCCCTCCCCTCATCTCTTATGTCCCTCGCTCATCTCTTTCTCCCCTCCTCCTTCATCCTCCAGCGCTCGAGCAAAGGCGTCCTTAGATCAATCGATGTTGTAGTGAAACCGGAGGTAGCACTGGGTTAGGGATATTAATCTTGGGCGGCGCATGGAGCTGACGAGTGCATAACTAGGATTTGTTTTTTCTTCTTCTCTTCTTCCTCCCTACATGTGGTAGTATATAAAATGGGTTGCATTCTTTAATATAGATTACAATTTCTTTACTTACTCTTGGTGAAAATGCAGGTTCAGTGTCGGGATTCCAAATTCCAAGATAAATTACACTTAATTTGTAGGCATGAATTACTTCATGCAAGCGTCAATTACTGCATTTCTGGCGAGGTGCCGAGAGAGGGGAGATTAGGGCCTGACGGTGAAGGCTCCAACGAGGTGCAGGCCGGCTGCCAGCACAGGGAGAATGTATGTGTGCCCACGGGAAGGATGTGTGTGTGGGTGGCACTGGGTTGATAGATGCACACACGCGACGCAGTGGTGAGCCCCAGAGGCGAGATGGTGACCCTCGACACGAAGGAAGAGAGCCTTTTTATGGATGCAAATTACGATGGGGGTTAAGCTGTGCAGCAGACTTTATGGGAGTCTCCCGTGCATCGTGCGACCACTGGCGGAGCTACGGCCAAGCAATATTGTGCTATGGCCCGCCCAGCTCAGTGAAAATTCAGCAAGATATGAGAGCAAAATGGGTCATCGGAGTAAAACAGTGAGACTTTCCTTTAGTTTAGCCTGCCCAGGTTTTCAAGTGTAGCTCCGCGACTGCGTACGACCCCGGTACCGTCAAATACATGCGCCTGATTGTACAGAATCCACGAATCGCTTAAAAAATCTATGGTATTTTTAAATCTGTGTAAAATACTCTCTTTGAGTCATTTATTTTAAGACGTAGGGAGTAGTTTTACTTGACGGGGTGATTTGTAATTTTGTTACCGAGAGAGTACCGCTTCTTCGGAAAGGCGCAAAAACCGTAGTATATGTGTTCTTTTCACTTTACTCGGCAATTATTACAGTGCTCTCTTTGCAAATAAAGACTAGACGATTGATGTGACGATGCTTACTGTTTATCAAGGCTGGGTCGAGGCACAGCCTCCACCCGGATTCGGGGGAACGGGATCCTCTAACATACACAAGGAATGTTAGAGAAGTTACAGTACCCTAACTTTCCTTCTGTTAATTCATATAATTAAGACTAAAGTAACTTAAATTAATTTTTAAATAACATATCTAGGATGTACATTCATAGTAATTACATACAAGCAAGTTGATGGTAAGATAAAATTGATTTTGGATTTTTTATATCTACATTAATTATCAAAAGTAAATAACCTGCTAATAATCCCTAACATTCCTTCTTCATTTTACACTAGACGAGCACTGTAGCACAGTGACTTTCCTTCTTGGAGGATCCGGCTGGGGTGGGGCAGAGTTGAGCGCACTCGCGCACCACCGGAGGTATGCTGTGGATCCCTTTCACCTCCCCTCGTTGATTCTCTCGACATTTCTTTCCTGATAATTTGTTTCTCCGCGTTCCTCTTCTTTCTTGCCGTCCCAAATCTTGTCCCGAGCTGTGAATTCACGGCTTGTATTCGTTCGTTTCCGTTGCTGCAGCCTCCCTGCACACAACCTGTTCGACGAAACGCCTCCGAGCTCTGACCCCATGGCGGAGGCGTCGGGCGACGGGAGCATGCAAGACAGGATCAGCGCCCTCCCGGACGAGCTCCTCATCCATGTTCTCTCCCATCTGCGCTCACGCGAAGCTGTGCAGACATGCGTGCTGGCACGGCGCTGGCGGGACCTCTGGCAGTGGGTGCCCTGCATCGACGTGTCTTTCAAGGAATTCGCAGACGTGCCGTATGAAGATGATGATGAAGACGACTTTGAGTTCAAGAAGTTCGTCAACCGTTTGCTGATGCTCCGTAGACCCGTTGACCTGGAGGCGTTCCGGCTCGAGTACAGGTTGCCGACCGACACCGAGTACCCTGAAGATGACTCCGCCGATGCCAACCTATGGATCGCCCATGCGTTACAGTACAAGGCTCAGGCTGTCAAGGTTGTAGATTACAACGATCGTTTGCATGTCGCTCCTGCGGTATTCACTTCAGCGTACTTGAAAAGACTGCACATCTGCCATGCTTTTCTGCTCCAAGGTTTCTTTAAGCACCTCGACATGGGCTGCCCAGTATTGGAGGATCTATTCGTATCGAATACCAGCATTCAGCACCGTGATATTTTCTCCAATACACTGAAGTATTTGACCCTCACTGATGACATTATCCACGGACCTGAGCATGATCACCAGCCTTCTATTTCTGCTCCAAAGCTCATTTCTCTGTCTGTCGACGGGAGTCCTTCTGGGCCCAGGCTACCTATACTAAAGAACATGACATCTCTAGAGACGGCGTCAATCGTACTTGTACGGGGGTTAATCAGTAATTGTAATGCTGATGATATCAAGCAGTTTCTTGGAGAGCTCTCTCATGTTAGAAGTTTGGACCTCTGTTATGGCGTCGAAAAGGTGAGCTGCTAGGTTTAACACGCCTGTCTATGAAACCTTCTTTTTTTTTGGTAGATCGCGTTTCTCTAGATATTAACCTATACTATATAATCTGCCATGTAAGCACATTTTTTATCTTTATTGTTAAACTGGAAGAGTCATTGCGTACCATAAGTGCAAACCTAACCACTTGATAGGATGACTAATGCTGTCTACACTCAAGACATTCCATTTCATATGCCCATTTTGTAGATTCATCAAATTACTGACCAAAATATCTAAGGTTTTCATACTAAACTGGAGCAATAAGTGGATTATAATTGTTGACCAAAATATCTCATTTCATATGCTTTTTTTTAGTTGCATATGCTCATTCTTAGTGCAATAACTGGGTTATAATATAGCTTCATCAGCATATACTAATGTAAAGTGCTTCAGCAATTGTTACCATCATTGCCAACTCCTACAAACAGATTGGACCAAAGCAACAGATTATCATGTGACGCAACCATGCTGATTTAATCACACGTGCTCCATGACTATCGAGGAACAGAAAATAAGTATACGATTGTCTAAGGGCATCTCCAGCCGCGCCCCCAACAGGCCCTCCCCAGACGATTTTGCCGCGCCGGCGCCAAAAAAAGGCCCCAGTCGCGCCCCCAGAAGCCCGTTTTTCGCCGGCTCGGGCCAAAACTGGTGCCGGCGGACCCAGGCCGAACCCGGCGCCCTGGGGGGCGCTTGGGGAGCCGGCACAAGCGAAAAAGGCGCGTGGGCCCGCCCTGGAGGCGACCCGAGGGCCTTTTCCCGCCGTTTCTTGACGCTTTTCCCTCGCATCTCTCGCCTTCCTCCCGCCATTCTCTCCCTTTCTCCCGCCAAACCCCCTCCCGCTCGCCGCGAAGAAGTACGCCATGCCGCCGAAGAAGTACGCCATGCCGCTCGCGGCGGCAACCGCGACTGGCGTCGTGGCCCAGCCGAAGCAGAGGAAGCCGAGGGCGCCGCCATCGAAGCCACCGGGCTTGTCGAACGCCGAGTGGAGGGTGGAAGTTCAGCGGCGCGAAGCAGTCACCGCCGACAGGCGGAACAGGGCCATAGCCAACAAGGCCCGCGACAACGTGGCGCGCGCGGCGGCGTCTTCCTCATCGGTCGACCAGGCGGGGATGAATCCACCCGTCGTCAGCCACGCCCAGTACGCGCCCTGGGGACAGCAAGGCGCCGGATCTCCATGGGGTTCATCGTCGCTCGGCTACGCCGACGGCGACGCGCACGGTGGGTTCAACCCAAACGTGACCTTCCCTCATGGTCACCCCGCTACGCGCACGCCCTCGCCCGCCTTCGTCGGCGTGCAGTACCCTCCATACAACTACTCGCCGCCCGCCGCCTACGCGTCCACACCGACGCCCCATCTCTACCGTGGACCGCTACCCTTCTCGCACCTCGGCGACGCCGACGACACGGGAGCCGACATGGACGACATCATCGCGACAGGATCGACCGCGGCCGCCGCGTCTCCCGGGTTCGCCACCCAGGACGAGGTAGTGGACCTTAGCGGTGACATGGAGGCCGAGCTCGGCTACGTCTACGACGACGACAAGCAGGAACCCGAGGAGGAGGAGGAGGACGAGGAGGAGGAGGAGGAGGAGGAGCCGGCTCTTGTTCCGACGAAGGGGCGCCAGAAGAAGAAGAAGCGGGCGGCTAGGTCAGGCGAACCGCGCATCAAGTGGACGTACAAGGAGGAGGAATGCCTCGCTGAAGCATGGAAAGTCGTCTGCCTCGACCCGACCACCGGTGCGAACCAGAGCTTGGAGACGTACTGGGACCGCATCAAGGCCGAGTTCGACGAGCGGAAGCTCGTCGACCCCTACTTCAAAGGCGTCTACATGCAGCGCGGCTCCAAGGCGATGGCGAACCATTGGGGGCGTATCCAGTTGGCGTGCAACAAATGGCATGGAATCGTCGAGGAGGTCGCGGCTCGCCCGGAGAGCGGCGCCAGCGTTGAGGATCAGGTACGCACGCCGTTCGCCCGCATATCTTCGTCCCCTACGCCCGCCGCCCGCCAACTGTTCGTCCCTCCGCGTAGCTGCTGCGTATGTTCGCCATGTATCGGGGTGACAACCAAGACGCCGACTTCAAGCACCTCCACGTCTACAAGCGCATTGACAAGTGCGAGAAGTGGGCGGAAGTCCGACGTGCCCTCGACAAGGCCAAGGAGACATACAAGCCGGACGCGACGACTCCGGGCGCGTCAGAGGGGCGGTCGGACGGCCACAAATTGGCAAAGAAGGGGAAAAGCGCCGACGCGGCAACCGCACGAGTGCAGGAGTCCATCGAGCATTGCCTCGCCGACGCCCAGGCCCGGGCCGTCCTACGCGAAGAGAAGACTGAGGCGCGGTGGTCGTCGCTAATGAAGAACAACGCCATCAAGCTCGACCTGCTCCGGACGAACGTCGCCGCGAAGAAGAGGAACACCGACATGGCTTTTCTGATGGGCGGGGCGGACATGCTCCAGAGCAACGACGAGAAGCTCAAGGCGTGGTACCTGGTGCAGCGCGGCCTCATCCTGAACGAGCTGCCGACGGCAACGCTGATGACGCCGACGACGCCCACGACCACACGGACGCCAAGCCCGAACGACGCCTCTACATCGCCGTCCAGCAGTGCCGAAGCCGCGCCGACGCAGCCCAGCACCGAAGCAGCTCCGACACCGACGAGCCCGCGCACGCTGACTCCGCCAACGCCTGGAGCCGACCCCGCTGAGTGAATCGTTGCGCACGCGAACTTGCGGCGGCGGCGCTCTGTTTTTTGTAACGCCAGACTACGTCCGATCGCCGGATTTGCGGCGTCTTTTGAGAGCGGGAACGACCAAGTTTAAATTTCCCGCATCCTGGGGCCGGCGCGTGGGGGCGTGACTGGGAGCTAGGTCGCCCCCAAGGGCCGAACTAGCGCCGGCACGCCCCCAGGCCGCTCTATTTAGGCGCCCTGGGGGGCCGAACGGCTGGAGATGCCCTAATACAGTTATTTTGTTTAACATGATCTCTATTTGTGCTGTGATTTATTCATATTCAATGTGCTCCAAAGCTATAGCTCTTAAGATTTTCAACGGCGCACGGTCAGAAGAGTAATCACATTTTGTTAACTCCCTCCAGATATTTTGGCAAGTTTCGTTGAAGCAGAAAAAAGAAATGGAAGAACATAATGGGTTTAATGTTCTGTCTTAATCCTTTCAATCATTTGCAGGTGGAGATTGAAAAGAATTACAGATGGTGCCCAACATTTCGTAATCTTACAGACCTGACGCTTCATAGTTGGTGTGTGCATGGGGATTTCTATGCACTGATAGTCTTCCTTCAGAACTCACCTAGTCTTAAGAAGCTAACTCTTGAACTAAACGAGGTATATGGTCTTCTCCGTAGCATTTATCCTTCAATCAATGTTGGTGCATTTACTGTAAAGATAAAACTGTTCCTTTTTATTTGCCAGCATTGGTATGAAAATGGGGTTATACGTGCAATCACTGGCGAGCTGGAGGATAGATCATTTACATGTGAGCAGCTTGAGATTGTTGAAATCATATGCTCGGAGGGAAATGAGCTGCTACCTTGGGTGAATCAGTTCTTGCTTGATAGTGGCATAAGGCCTGATCAGATGCGTGTCATTTATGAGGACTAAGGCCAATGGAGGCATTTGATGATTCAGGTCCCACTACAGGTGAAATTACATGGAATCACACATTGGCATGTCATCTCAGGCAAACATTATTTCCTATTGGATCTATATTCGCTCGCTCTGTTTTAGTTGGAATGAACATAGCATGTGTGTTTGCTGCCCTTGCCTTTTTCATACAGTAGTGATGATTTTGAAGCATGTTCTGCTGATGGTGAACCAAAAGAAACATATGACTTGGATGTCATTTTCCTATGTGGTGCCATTCTGGTAGAACGTTACACTACATGAGACGTGCAAAATTGCTTGTTCTGGTTGGAGTTTATATTGGTCCAAATCTCCGAGGATACTTTTCTAGTAAATGTTCTATTAGCTCATTCAGATTTTTGTGATGTTGTTGATCTGAGATGCATGGCTGATGGCTGCACAAAACTTGATGTTCCCTTTTCTGCTCTTTTTTTTGAAACAAAAATGCTTCATGTCATGTCAATCTTTGAACCTACGTACCTTATGTGCAGCTCAACTTCATATGATATTCCTCTAAACCACGCACCCTTGAATTGCATTTCATTCGTAAACATAGTATTCCCTTCATTCGATTACATACATAGATACATATATGCATATACTTTTGAATAGTTTGAATTGATTACTATATACTCCCTTTAGTACAAAGTTGAGTCACTTATTTTGGGACGGAGGGAGTATGTCACATGGTTACATATGTGCATATATCACTGATGGTCAATGCTACACCCACGCAAGGTTAGGTAAGGTTTTTACGTATACGCTTATGTGGAGTTTTGTGATTGGGAATAGGGGAGAGGATGGGCCCCACCGGGGTGAAAATCAGAGGAAGGGTGGGGGCCTGGGGGTCCAGTAAAATTACGTAGGTGTATAGGATTACTGATATAAGCCAACCTCTTCTAAAAATGGAATACATATTTAATTCATACAAAACGTCAATCGGATTTTCTGTATTTCAAATAAATGCAAAACTACAAGAAAGTCACGTATACATCATATCCAGTCGAGATCAATGCACTTGCGCTCCTACGAATAAGATGAATGCTTTTAGCGGCTGACTACTAAAAAATAGTACGTACACTTAATAATCATCTGCTTTGGGCTATTATTGCAACACATCGGTTGGTCTTGTGTTATATCGTTAAACAGCCTGAAGCCCACACAGTTGGCCGCGGTACTTCTGCGCGTTGGCGCCAAGCTTCTCCTTCAACGTCTCGAAAGCCAGGAGCGCCAGCGTGCTACCTGTGCCGGCGGGCGTCGGCTTCGGCTCATCGGGCTGCACCACGCCGAGCTGCTTCACGATGTGGCTCAGCGCGCCGACGCACCTCTGGTCGTGCTGCCTCGCCAGCCGCTTCACGTCGTACACGGACGGCCCGAGGAGCAGACGCACCATCTCCATGAAGGCGTCCACGTCGCCCGGAAGCTTCTCGCCGGACATCATGGTCACGAAGTAGCCGACGTGGTACGCGCTGGCGAACGTCGCCCACGACGCCCGGGCCCCGAGCAGGCCGGAGGCCCGCAGCATCCGGCGGAGCTCGTGCCCGTGGATGCCGGACTCGGGAAGCCGGCCGAAGTCGACCCCGCAGCGGGCGAGGTAGGCGATGGAGTCGGGGTCCCTCGCGTCGAGGTCCGAGGCGACGTCGAACCCGCGCAGGTTGAACTCCCACGCGAACCGCCCGCCGTCGTCGGTGCGGATGGCGAGCCCCACCTGGAGCGGCTTCAGGAGGGCCACGTTGGCCCGGACCACCTGGTACCGCTCCTCGGCGGTCATGTCGTAGTGGCTTTTCCGGCCGTCGCCGCGGAACACGCAGCCCGGGTACTGCACGTTCAGCGCGACGTGCGTGGCGTGCGGCGCGATCTGGCAGAAGACGGCGGACTCGGCCTTGAAGTTGTCGGCCCAAACCGACCGGACGGCGGCGGCGCCGTCGTCCATGCCGGCGGACGGGACTTGCTGCTGCTGCGGCGGCGTCTCTGATCACCGGGAGTTCTGTTCGACGCGGTGGCAGCCCTACGATAGAACGCTTTCCGTGCTGCTCGACTTTCTATGGAGGCCTGCTTCTGTTGAATATATATAGATGCAGCAGAGCTGCGGATTGCTTTCGTATTCAGGTTGAGCGTGGTAGGTGCAGTATTTTCGACTCGGGTTTGACTTCTCGGCTGGATTCGGAGATGCGAACGTGTCCCGTATTATCCGGTCACCTGGACGCCGGGTCCGTACCGTACTGGTTTTCAACAGTACCAGCGTTTTGCACCATGTCCACAGCCTATCCCCGAATCAACCGAGCAGTCGGCCGTGACATGACTTTGACTGATGACCTTAGCAGAAGCAGAGGATCCGATTCGACGGCGGAGCAATGCTACAGGGGCATCTTGCTAAACCCGCAAACCGTCCGGACACGTTTAGATCGTGCTGTTCGGATCTATTGTGTCATTCAACGCGGGACTGTATTGGTCTTTCGAGCGGTCTAGACGTGCTTTTTCGTGTAAATTAAAAGCAAAGTTAGAGTATCTACAGCCGGACCTCTCAAACCCACTCATACGTCTGGTCACTTACCGGTCATGTTTATTTGATCCAGACGGACGTCTCAAACGGGTCTCAAACGTCCGGGCTGACCGGCACCCCTCATATCCAGTCCAAATATGGGGTGGATATGAGGGCGCCCGGGCACGCCCATCACATCGGACCCGGCCCATGCTGATCCACCCGGCTCCACTTATATCCGTCCCCATCCGCTCGCGAGAGCAAACCCTAGCCACTTCACTCCACTCCTCTTCGTCACCCGAGCTCACCTCCGACGGATTCCGGCCTTCTCCGCCACGGCAGACAGCGGATCAGACTCCGACCAGTCCAGATCCTTCGACTGGGGTATCATCCGTGTGGGTTCGAGGAGGCAATGGTAGTCCGCATTGCACTCCGCCGCTCCCGGGAGGACAATGCCCGGCCGACGCACGGATCCTCCGCCGTGCCGCCATAGCGTCGTCTCATCGGGCGCTCAGGTCCTCTAGTGCTGGATCCCCGCGGTCCCGGCAGCTGGAACCAACTGTAACGCCCTCGATGCGGCTATATCTCCTACGTGTCGAAGCACGACTTAGAGGCATAACCGCATTGAAAGCAATGTCGCAAGTGAGGTAATCTTCACACAACCCATGTAAAACATAAGGGAAAGAGATACATAGTTGGCTTACAATCGCCACTTCACACAAGTGCATGAATAAAGCATTACATCAACCAGATACAATCACAGTCCGACTACGGAACCAAAATAAAAGAAGAACCCCAAATGCGACAAAGGTCCCAATCACCCCCAACTGGGCTCCACTACTGATCAACTAGAACGAAACAACACAAAGGGCAAGATCTTCATCGAGCTCCTCCTGAGCTTGGTTGCGTCATCTGCACAGACTCATCGGCACCTGCAAGCTGGTTTTGGAAGTATCTGTGAGCCACGGGGACTCAGCAATCTCGCACCCGCGAGATCAAGACTATTTAAGCTTATAGGAAGGATGGAGTAATGAGGTGGAGCTGCAGCAAGCGACTAGCATATATGGTGGCTACAATCGCAAAAGAGAGCGAGAAGAGAGGGCAAAGCACGGTCGATAAAAGTATGATCAAGAAGTGATCCTATAGCAACCTACGTCAAGCATAACTCCAACACCGTGTTCACTTCCCGGACTCCACCGGAAAGAGACCATCACGGTTACACACACGGTTGATGTATTTTAATTAAGGTCAACTTCGGGTTTTCTACAACCGGGCGTTAACAAATTCCCATCTGCCCATAACCGCGGGCACGGCTTTCGAAAGTTCAAATCCCTACAGGGGTGTCCCAACTTAGCCCATCACAAGCTCTCACGGTCAACGAAGGAATAGACCTCCACCCGAGACATTCCGATCAGACTCGGTATCCCGGTACAACAAGACATTTCGACAGGGTAAAACTAAACCAGCAACACCGCCCGAATGTGCCGACAAATCCCGATAGGAGCTGCACATATCTCTTTCTCAGGGCACACTCAGATGAGCAATCCGTACAACTAAAACCAAACCTCGAGTTTCCCCGAGGGGGCGCTGCACAGGGCTCTAGTTCGGACCAACACTCAGAGGAGCACTGGCCCGGGGGGGGGGGGTTAAAAAAAAGATGACCCTTGAGTCTGCAGAACCCAAGGGAAAGAAAAGGCTAGGTGGCAAATGGTAAAACCAATGTTGGGCATTGCTGGAGAAGCTTTACTTAAGGCGAACTGTCAAGGGGTTCCCATTATAGCCCAACCGTGTAAGGCACGCAAAATCCGGGAACATAACACCGATATGACGGAAACTAGGGCGGCAAGAGTGGAACAAAACACCAGGCATAAGGCCAAGCCTTCCACCCTTTACCAGTATATAGATGCATTAATTAAATAAGATATATTGTGATATCCCAACAAGTAAACATGTTCCAACAAGGAACAACATCTCCATGTTCCAACAAGGAACAAACTTCAATCTTCACCTGCAACTAACAACGCTATAAGAGGGGCTGAGCAAAGCGGTAACATAGCCAATCAACGGTTTGCTAGGACATGGTGGGTTAGAGGTTTTGACATGGCAATTTGGGAGGCTGACAAGCAAATGGTAGGCATCGTAGCATTGGCATGGCAAAAGAGCGAGCAAACTAGCATAGCAAAGATAGTAGTGACTTCGAGGGTATGATTATCTTGCCTGAGATCCCGCAAGGAAGAAGAACGAGTCCATGAAGAAGACAAACGGACGTAGACGAACGAATCCTCACAACTCCGGAACGAAATTGAAGCTAACGTGAGAAGCAACCCGCAAAGAAACAAACAACATAGTAAACAACCACCACATAAACATGGCATAATGCACAATCAAGTATGATGCATGTCCGGTTTAATGAAGCATGGCATGGAAAAGTGCAACAAACAATACTACAAGTTAAGTGGAGCTCAATATGCAACGAGGTGCATGTTGACGGAACACC